GGTTGAAACCCCCGCATTTATTTTTTTTTTTTTTTTTTTCCATACATTCATTCATTTGCCAGTGACTGCTGCTGGGATTGATATCTTCTGACTCTGTTGGACCAGAGAGGTGCTCTTATTTGTGGGAGATTCAGTGTCAAGGCCATAGCCTTTTGGTACTAAATATCTATAGATAAAGTGCTCCATTTGACTTGGAGTAACTTTAAGGTGGTTGTCATGTCCCTGAGTTAGCAAAGCATCCCCAGGATGGGAAAAGCAAATGTGCTTAGTGATGTGATACACTGAGTCAGGCAAGTCGTCCACTCAACTCCGGATCCTTTATTCATTAGTGGCCAAAACCATATGCTACAGAGAAAAATTAGTGCATCTCCGCAATGAGTTAAACAGTCCCTAAAGAACATGCTTCTCCAGTGTCATTCTTCAGAGGCTCAGTGGTGACCTAAAACCATGAAGGTTGATTCTCCTCTGTCGTACAAGTGCAGATTTGAAAGATGGCAAATTCTCCTTGATCTAGAACTAAAGATACCTGAAAAAGTCAGGTACAATAGCTAGAGCAATAACTCCCTCCGATCTGATTGAAAAATATCTGCCTTAGAGCTGATTTAAAAGAAAAGAATAACTTGGGCTATGGCATTGATAAAACACATGTGCATCCGTTTATGTGTACTTTTATAAGTTAACTCAGGCATTTTAGTTCAGTATGGGATTGCCTATGGCAATGCATTACTGCAATGAGATATTTTACACGGCTCAGCCTTAGCATTTGCATTGAATTTAAATGAGGCAAACTTCTGAACTGCAGCAGAGAAGGAGGTAGCACACATATAAAGAATTTCTTTATAATATCTAATTTCAGTAATTTTAAAGTCTTGGCTGCTTCTAGCCTAAAATGAGTGGGTTTTTTTTTTTTACTATATGAGAGCAGGTGATTGAAAGCGGAGAAGGGAGAGTAAAGCTGAGAAAGGAAGACTTTCAACTTTGGTCTTGATAACATTATAGAAATTACATTTGTAGGATTTGTAGCTTTGAGGATTGGCGGAGGGCCATATAGGGTTAGGCATATGCATAGCCTGTTTCTTCTGAGCTCTGCAGGTGTGTAAAGTTTGATCATACTGCTGTTTCCAAAGCTATAGACTAAGACCCATTGCTTTGGGGTTCATGCTGATCTTCTGGACATGGTTAACGACTTCATAGATGCTGGAGTTCAGTTCTCATTTTGATGCTGACTTGTGCTCTGAAATACAAACTGTCCTGCTGATCTGCTCTAGTGTATATCTTTCAGCAGTCAACAAAGACACTGAATTTGGCATTTGAGTTTCTGTTGTTGTTTTTCAGTTGCGAAATCCCAGTTTAAGCCAAATGAATGGTCCCTGCAAAATGGAGTTGTCCTAGCTTGGTAAGAATGGTAAAAACAGAATGTGTTTACCACTGATTAAAAATTCGTTAGTGATGCATGGATGAGCAACATCTTTCATGTCAATGCTACGTGGAATTTCAAGCTCTGAGGCCAAATGATGGAAATTAGCTGCTTAATTTAAATCTGGCTAGTTTAACAACTTTTTTTTTCTTTTGACCATATGGCTAAGAAGAAAACACTCTTTTGAGTTTCCAGTGGAAAATTCCTTGTCCATAAATAAGAGCCTCTGGCAAAGAGAACCTGTTTGAAGATGGAAGTCTCACATATTTTCTTTGGGTAACTGACCAAAATCACTTGACCATTTTCTTAGTGGCTGTACTGCTGAGTGGCTGTACTCTTTTTCAAGTAGACATTTTCGGATAAAATATCTTGCTTTTGTGAATGGTAATTCCTACTATAGGAACAAAAATAGGCCTGGAAATTACCTATTGTATTACAGTACACTATTATATAATAGTGGTTATGTAATTATGTCATATAATAACAGATTCAACCTTCATTGCAGACTAACTTTGTGCAAGAAATAGGAAGTATATTAAAATGATGTGCCTCTTTCTATGCCTGTTGCTGTCATTCCTTACTATTCAGAACTGGTCCCTGGTGACAGGAGGAGGGGAAGTTAGACTATACTGTCTGTGTTTTACCTGTGCCTGAAGAGTGCACTGTGGCCAGCGGTGAGTGGTGAATGGAGTCTTGGTTGCCCCCAAGACTATATGTTCAGCTGCTGATTTGTGACAGATATGTCTCCAGTAGCTGTGGAGCCAGAGCTCATAAGTGTCTGATTGACCCTGCTCTTCAGAAGGAACAGCAAGGTGAACAGGATGCTGCCATTCAGAAATTCCACTGCTCCAAAGGAGGACCAAAATTTGGGCTTTAACGTAAATTTTTTTTTTTAGAACTGAATGAGTTTCTGTGGCAGCTGGTATTTGCCTCAGTTCATCCTTAAACTTAGTTCCCAGATCTTCATTTTCAATCACTGTGGACATCTCCTTACTCGCTTCTTGTATATAATATGTCATCACCTGAGGGGTAATTTTGAATTGGAATTTGTGTGCTGAAAGCCAGTTTTCAGCACACACAACAGTGGCTAAAGTTGCAGAACTAGCTTGCAGGTTAGAATTGCATATTCTGCAGTGTAATTCCACATATCTATGGTATACATTGCTAATCCTTGCAGTAAGCCTTTGAAGCATTAATCTCTTACTGCTAGTGAAACTGAGGTTTAGAAGACGGGAAGTTTACAAGTTCTAGGACTCAGTTCTTTGTCATACTAGCTATTTTGTCCTCAGTTTATTCTAGTTCCATATTTATCAGAATAAAAGCTACCTTTTAAAAATTGAAACTTCCTGCTACCAACATCACGGTACTGGTAACTGCTTAGCTAGTTGTTAGACAGTTGATGAGGGATTTCTGGGTGAACCACTTTAAATTTAATGGAAAATGCCACCTTGGGAAATCAAAAGTTTATTCCAAGAATAAGGTTTGGATTTTCCAGGAAGATATATTGACTTTTGGATTTCTGCTCCTAACCAGGGAAATGCCTTTCTTGGAAACAGGATAGTGGTTGGTGCCTCAGCCTGCAATGCTAGAGACCTGGACTGAAAGCGTAGAGAAATACCACTACGCTTTTAAATCAACAGGGGTTGGTGCAGTAGTGGGTCTTCCTAGCACTGAAATGAGGATAGTGCTTTAAATGTTGTAGGATGACTTGGCAGAAGTCAGAAGTGGCGAATGCCCTCTCCTCTTAGCTGAGTGATGAGGTGATGTAGCTGTGGAATGGGAGGACCTGGCTTGAAGTCCAGCCTAGGTTCTGAGATAAAGACAGATAAAAGCTTTTGCTCTCTTCCAAGTCCCTAAAATGCTGGCATATTTTTCTCCTTCCCTGTCTCTTTTGTCCTGCTTACTTCCAAGACAGTACATTCCTCTCTGTGTAGAGGAGGAGATGCTAGAAATTTAAAATGTATTCATGGGCCGAGTAACAAGACTAGTATCTTGGCATAACGTCCTTAAATGCAAGGGAATTGCTCTTGTTTAAGCCAAGGGAGGAGTGGTCACTGACTCATTGGAGTACGTTTGTGTTTCAAGCGTGCATTTCAGCCTCTTACTGGACTGTGGACCTAGCATTGTCTATATTTTGTTTCTTGTATTGCAACTTTTAATGCAAATGACATTTTTTTCCTAATTGTAAGCTTTTAGGCACAGCAGTGAACATAAAACAGCCAGATTTAAGTTCCGCATAGGAAAAATTTAGCTTAACTGATTTGATGCCTGACAGCCCCAGGTATTGATGTTGCCTACTCAAATGAAAGTAATTAATAGAAAGCAAACTTGATAACCAGGAGAAAACATCTCAAGGAATAAGCCAAGTGGCTGCTCTTCACTCCTTTGTGTTAAGTATACGTAATCTGGCGCTGCTGACTTTGAATACTGCATAACCAGAGCCGTGATAACAGCCACTAGGAGACTGGTTCTAGCCAGGAAAGCTAGTATTTTTTTTAATAAACACCTAAAACTGTACATTTTCTGGTGCTTTTCTTAATCTAGGACAAAACATGTTTGTAGTTACAAATTGAGGTATTTATTTCATGTACTCATCAAAATTAGAGAAGAGATTGTCCTGAGAGCTGATATTTCCAGGAATTGATACCTGTAGAGAGAAATGAGGTGTAAGGTGATCTGTTTTCCAACTCCTTTCCATGTCCAGGAAGCAGAAAAGAAAATAAAGCAGTATTTCTTTTCATCACCACCAGTAACAGATATGTGTTAAATGTATGTGTGTGTGTATGTGCCCGCATAATTCTTAGCGTACTTTAATATAGCCTTCAATATTAGCCACAATTGGAGCATCTTTAAAACCATATTTTCTTTTTTCTTTTGCAGCAGTATTCCAGATCTGAGAGTTAAGAAAAGGAAGCTACGTCAGTCCAGAATGCCAGAAAATGATCAACCGCTTCCTAAGAGTAGGCGGAAGAAGAGCTAGTGTCGCAGTGGTGTGAAGTTTAGAATGGTGCAGAAGGCTTAAAGCTGCGAAATACTTCTTATTTGTTCCCTATTTTTTCCGGTGTATCTGGGCACTTAATAAAGCGCCGAAACTTTGCACAGTTGTCATTCAAACTGCCTTAAAATAACTGGATTAGTGCACTGACATGTTTTGTTTACAGCACTATGGGCCATTTAATTTTAAGATTGGGCATAACATATTGGAATTCTGTAGAGGCATTTAGTTACCTGTTTTCCCTTTGTGTCTGCACCGCAGCTGAAGGAAATGATTCCCCGCTTTGTCACTGTTCCTGCTCGTATCATGCCGGAGCTCGCTCTGCTTGTGCGGGTGAATTGTGGGCGAGTGCTTTGCCTGGTGGGGTGGATGGGCTCGTCCTGGCGGCGGCCCTGCCCCGCGTGCTGGGGGGCGAGCGCAGCACCTTGGGCTGAGACCAGCCGGGGCCTGCTGTTCACCTCTGCAAAACTGCTCATAATAGCTAAGAGGAAACATGCTGGCATGTTGTTTTGAGACAATTGTCCCGATGAAATATAGTAGAAATCCAGGGAAATTCTTCCTTTTGTCATCACTTTCTGATCTGGCGGTTGGGTTCTGCCAAGGTATCTAGTTTCCAAATTCAATTTGGAAGCCTGATTTCCTACAGATTTCAACGGGAAGTTAGCTGCATAAATACTTCTGAGGCTCTGACTGTATGTGACTGAAAACCCTTTTTTGAAGTGGTAAGTGTGTGTCTGAGGAGTGATATGTTTATTTGATTCAGAGTAATTTGACTTTTGCAAGTGGAATAAATCATATTTCAAATTATTTCAGTTCTACAGAAATATGCTGGTTTTGGATATGTTCTTGTAAACTTATTCATTAGTATGTGAAAGAAAATAAATAGACTCCTGTTTTAGGGGGAAGAATAAATTTGAAAGAGAATAAATATTGACTTCCATTTTTTAGGTCTATAGCATAGTCCACAGCAATTAATACTAGACGCTTGTATTTCATGTGGCTAGCCAGAGAATAAAATATTTCTGTGTGTAGCGGTCAGTATGTCTGAACTTTATTGTGAGTAAGGTAGTTTACATCAGCTGTTGAGCATCTTCCTTTGGAGGCTTTTATTGATGTGCTTTGCATTTCATTTTCTTTACTAAGGTAGTAATAGTCACTGTCATATGCAGAAAATAGCCTCAGAAAACTTTATAAGTATTAATGGACTTAAAAAATGAGATCTAACTATAAGTAGGAATGTGAATATACCTTTAATAAAATTTGAAGAGGCACTGTTTTTTGCCCTAAGTCTTGCTCAGTTGATTTGCCTCCAGTTGTGCTTATGCGAAGCTCAATCGGATGAAATGCTAGTGTAATCACAAATGTAGGCACTGTGGAATGTAAGACCGAGAACCCTCGACACAAATTACTCATCGCATAATGACCAACTCAGATTACCACTTCCAATTTGACCTTTACTATCTGCTGCTAACTATATAAGGGCTTTAACTCTGCTGAATCAGCAGGGAAATTTAGGATGCTATGATACTTTATTAACTGAGAGCTTTCTTTTTTATAATCAGTGAATGGATTATGAATATAACTTTATCAATAGCAGATACTTTTTGCTTAGCTTTGGAACCAGATGCCACTTGCAAAGTTAAACTTGTAGTTAATGGCGATAAATGCTGATGTCAGTGATATGAAAATATATTTCAATAGCCAATGAGAATAAATAGTCTAATGTATTAAGTAAGTAAGGGCTAGGATATACTTAGAAAAATCAATACAGAAGGTGAATAAAAAAAGGCATAAAATGTCAAGTGATGAAAGGGCTAGTGCAAGGCCTTGTGAACTTTTTCCCAGGATGGTTGGAGGCTGGCTGCTGAAATTTGTCATTTCCATTTGCGAAGCCATGAAGAATGGGTGAAGCATTAGAAATCTACAGAAGATAATTAGAATGTCTGTGGTTAAAAAGCAAAAAGGTTTTAGAAAATTTTAGTGGTATTAGCTTAACATCAGTTACTTAATTAACTTTTGTTTTTTTTTTTTTTTAAAGAACTATTTTTAATTATCCAGAACAGAACAACATGAGAACCTGCTTGTGTGGATTTGTCAGGAGCGAACCATGTTAAATCAATCAAATTCCCTTTGGCTAAGCAATAATGTATCTTGTAGACGCAAGAAAAGTAGCCATATAGCTAAACACAAGGAAGACAATATATAAACACCTGGAAAGGTGCTGTTCAAATGAAAATATTCCAAGGTTTTTGCAAAGCTTTTTCAGAAAACCATGCTGAGAGAATAGTTTTGAATGGTTTACAGACAAAATAGGGGTGTATCAAGCGGAGATTTCCAGGGATCTTCCCCTGCTCTGCTGCAGTTTGATCTTTTCATAACGACCTGGATGGTGAAATAGTATGCTTTTACTTTCGTGGTGAAAGTCTGCAGCATGTAGTAGGGCACATCTAGAATTCAAAATGATCTTGACAATTGAAGATAGGCTCTACAACTCGCTAGGGCCAAGGGCCAGGTCTCTGCAGGAGTAAGCCCTTAACACGGAGTAAAAAACAGTAGCTGCAGAAAAGAGCTGGAATCATTGCAGATGAAGGCTGAACATGGGTCAGCAGTGTCAAGTGGCTGCACAAAAGGCAAATGCTATACTGAATTGTGTAAAACCTGTAAAGTAATCCTTTAAACTATGCTCCGTACAGGTGAGATAGCAGCTGGAATACTGGGTCCTACTTTGCATGCTGCACCTCGATTGAGAGACACCAAATGTCCTTATGGACAGAGCGGTAAGGACAGGCAAGGAAGTAAGAAGCCTGAATTTGGGAGGAAGGATTGAATGATCTAAGGTTATTTTTTCTGTGGAAGAGAAGACCAAGCAGGAACGGTCACCTTCCAGGAAAGAGAAATAATTGTTCAGTTTGACTCAGACAGAAGGGAAGTAGTTACACTGCAATAAGGAAAACTCCATTTCCTTAAGGACAAGGAAGCACTGGAATAGATTGCTTTTGCAGTATCTGTTGAGAGGTATATAAGAGAAGCATCTCTTAAGAATGGCATACTTTAGATCATCTCACATTGGGACCAACTGACCTTGTGAGTTTCTTCCTGGTTCTGTGAATCTTTGCTTCTGTGTTAATGCAGGTGGCTCTCAGTATTTGGTTCTCAGCTGACAATCATTGATGTTTAGCTATCCCCTTCTGCCAAATCATAGACAATATTGTAATCACAGATGTAGAAAACCTTGTTCTGTTGTATTGTGTTTTTATGCCTCAATAAAAGACAACTGCTTAGTAATAAAGCAGCGTTAACTTAGCTTCGTTTTCTTTTTTCTAGGCCTGTTGGTATATGGGGTGTTAATTCTAGAATGACTGTCCTGTGGGAGGAACCTAGCAAACCAGCAGGTGTTGAACAGCCCAGCAGATCTCAGTCTAATCTGACATTCAGCATGGGTAGTCCCTCAGGTAGTTGTTCTGATGTTTGAGCAGTTGAGGTCTCAGTCTGCTTTTGGGTCATAAATAGCAGTTGTATACTTCTGAAATTCATGCGGACTTCAAAATATCTCCACTTGCGTTCAAAAAATGCAAGAAAAGCTGTTGCTTTTGAAGCTATAACTTTGAACATGTAAAAGGTCTTAAGCTTTGGATATTTCTATTTTCTTTCTGTTTATTCAATCAAATTGTTATTTCCCTAAGAAAAAAGGCAGAGTTTGATCCTTCTTTAGTATCTGTTTCTGAGGATTCTCTTTCCATGAGCCTGGGCACAATGTCAAGAAACATTAACCTTCAACCGTTTTTTAAACCTTTGCAAATGTTCTGAATTTAATCCCTTCTGTCAGTTGCAGTGAACCACAATAGAGTGGTATCTTGACTCTGTGGCTGACTTTCCCCAAAGAGCTCGTTTCTGATTTAAAGAAAAAAAAAAAAAAGCAAAACGAAATGTTTATTTCATGTGTGTATCTACTTCATTGTCTGCGAATATAAGCCTCAGGTGTTTATTTTTTATATTGATTTTTGGCATTTAAAGCTGACATTGCTTGCATCACCCATGTAGCTATTTGGCTGATGCCTGTGGTGTGCTGTATAATGCTGGGTTCCAAATCTGAAAATTGCATCTACAGCTGCATACAAGACAATGGGAGATCACCTTTGGGGATTCTCAAAGATGTGATGAAGCAAATCTCTCAGACTTCGGTTTTGCTCCATTAGATCATTTTGGTTACAGCATGGGCCAAGGCATCAACTGAGCCCAGCAATCCACTGTTAATAACTGCTTTTGCAGGGTAATAATGCATTCTAGGCTACTTGAAATAAAGATGCATTGAGGTCAAGGTGCAGAAGAATCTAAAGAATAGGTTGGCAAGGCTGTGTTGGCCATACTCTTCTTATACTTTATTTTTTCTTCTGGTTGTTACCACATAACTAAGTGGCAGAGTCAGGGGTAACAGTCTCGTCCCTTCCTACTGCAAGGTTCAGCACGTTCTCATCAGTGCTGTGTCAGGAAGTATAAGCAGAAAAGAGGATGCATCCACTCGTTTACTAGTCAAGCAAAAACCTTGAGGGGAAAAAGTAATACCAAGAATGAATCATAGCCTTTCCATCATCCCCTCAAACGTCTTAAACCTTCTTGTGAAAAGTAAGCCAAGTAGCCAATAGTAAAGGGCTTCACAAGATATGGATTTAGCACTGACTTTGCTGTTCTGAAATCATTTTGGGGCAGAATGGGAACAACAGTTGGTATTTCTGAATATGTAACGTTCCGCCTTCTGAAGAAGATGCTGCCGAATCTCTGCGATACTGAAAAGCACAGCATGTTTCAGATGAGTGAGCTGAGGGGCCTCAAGAGATTTGGAGCAGATCCCTGTTCCTGTGCAGTGAGAGAAGACTAGGTGAGATGTCCATTCTGTATGTGGGAGCTGCATGATTTAGTAAAATGAATGAAACTAACCTATGCAATCTCTTGCTTGCAATAAGAAGATTTTAATTCAGATTTCACTTTATTTTCCTTTAACCGTTTTATTTATCAAGATACGTTATTTATGAAGAATGCTGGAATAGCGTGTACCTTTCCCTAAGAAAGTTCTTAACTCTCCAGTTTAGTCAGCTTTAAATCAATGACATGAATTCATTTATCAGATGAAATATAATATCATATAACCATTCTAGGACATTACTTTTTTTGACATGGAAAGGGCTCCATTGTCATAGAAGGATCATCCTCAGAGTCTGAAGTTTTTTTTTTGTCCCTGAACTCTGTTGTTATTGGTGTGAACTGGGATCATAAAGGAAGGAGAACAATTTCTGGTCTTCTGCTGACCCATCCAC